CAAGCTCAACATGTTACAATTGAATCCCCTTCTTGACAAAAATAAAAATTAAACTCCTTCCTCATATTGATCCCCACACATCAGTGAAAGCCACAAGCTAGAACCTAGATTGTATCTTCTATGAACCCTCTCCCTAATCCCAAATCCACTGAAATCACCTAGTCCTGTCTATCCCAATATTCAAGTCCAGACCCACTACCATCATTTGCCAAAATTGCCTTTCTAATATTCCTGCCTTTAGCCTTTGTCTACTCTTTAATCTACCCTGCTCACTGAACCCAGAGTTACCTTTTAAAAATGCAAATCTCTCCCAGCTGATGTGGCTCAGTGGCTGAGAATCAACCCAGAAACCAAGAGGTCACTGGTTTAATTCCTGGTCAGGGCACATGCCTGGATTTTGGGCTTAATCTCCAGCAGGCAGGGTGCAGGAGGCAGCCGATCAATTATGTTTCTCTCTCATCTATGTTTCTATCTCTCCCCCTTCCTCTCTCTCTAAAAAAATCAACAGAAGCATTAAAAAATGAAAGTCTAATCAGGCTCCTACATACTTTAAATCCTCCAGTAATTTATTTGATAAATATTAGTCACCATTAAAGCTAGTCACTCTAGCCAAGCTGGTGTGGCTCAGTGGTTGAGTGTTAGTCTGTGAACCAGGAGGTCAGTTCAACTCCAGGTCAAGGCACATGCCAGCTGAATCCCATGTGAGAGGCAGCCCATCAATAATTCTATCTCATCATTGATGTTTCTGTCTCTCCCTCTTCTTCCTCTCTGAAATCAATAAAAATATATTTTAAAAAGAAAAGAAAAAAAAAGCTAGTCACTCCATGTAAGTTCAGCAGATTAATCAAATTTACTTTAATTACATCTTTGTTTTTTGGCTGGTTCAGCACAAAAGAATCATCAGGAAATTTTTTCCAAACCTGAAATATACTTAGAACATACATATAACAGCTGATACATTTAAAAAAGAAGCATAAAGCACTATTTGTAAAATCAAAGACTGAAAATATCTCAAGACCACCAAAATGGAACTACCATCCAGTTAGCAAATGAGGCACTAACACATATACTATTATTGAATAGTCTCTAGGGTCTATTATAAAGTGGGGATAAAAAGTTATATAATGTGCAGTATGTTTTAGTATTTTAAGAATATAAATGTACAAGCAGTTGACATACATCGTTTCATGGTTACATCACCATCTCCCATTTATTTATTAAAAAAAAAAAAAAGTTCTGTCATTTCAATGTATGTACATATGCATTTTATTACTTATTTACCACAATTAAAGGTCAGGAATTGTGAAAACAGGTGGTTAGAGGATAAAGAGAAACTTTTTCCTACATATTCTTTTAACTCCTTTGATTTTTATATTCCATCTAATTATTATCTATAGTTTTAAATATTATTATCCCCCTCTTCAGTTTCACACAAAATAAAAATGTTAAATATATTGATTATATATGCACTGATCATTTGGTTTAACATTACATTTCCTTCTTTACAGCTCAGGAGTACAATTTCAACAACATTTAATTCAATACTAGTAGTGCAGGGCACAAATTTGTGCACATTGAAATAAAATTAATTAGAAGAAATATTTTAGCCAAAACCGGTTTGGCTCAGTGGATAGAGTGTCAGTCTATGGACTGAAAGGTCCTGGGTTCGATTTCGGTCAAGGGCATGTACATTGGTTGCGGGCACATCCCCGGTAGGGGGTGTGCATGAGGCACCTGATCGATATTTCTCTCTCATCGATGTTTCTAGCTCTCTTATCCCTCTCCCTTCCTCTCTGTAAAAAAAAATCAAAAAGTATATTTAAAATATATATAGATATATATTGATATATATATATTTTTTATATCACTATTTGCCCTTTGTCTGTATTAGAAGTGACAACTAAATTCACAATTGACAATGACAGATTGAAACACATGGGTGCGATTGACACCAAGGAGAGCTTTATATGTGTCATGCATATGCAAGCCAACTTAAGTCTTTTATCTAAATAATGAAGAGCCAGAGTCCTAACGGTTGTTACACCAGACCAGAAGTCAGCCCTGGGTTGCGTGGTGACCCAGCACTGACTGAGGCAGCTGCTAGCACCCCAACCCAGCAATGACTGCCTAGGAGGCTGCAGATCAGGGCCAGAGAGAGGCCTGCAGAGAGGCAGGGTATGATCTGTGGCACCTGTTGATAAGAACTTGCCTCTCTTTCTCTCCCAGCCTGGCCAACAGCCGCACCTCCATTTCTCTCCAGGCCTCCACCGGGGCTGCTGATCAGCCCTGGCTTTCTGATAAGGCCCCGTTGATAGGCCTGAGATGCTGACTGGCATAGAAAAAGACCAATCAGAACCAAATCTGGGTGAATGTAAGGAGCCAATGGCTGCCTAGGAGGCGGAGCTTTTGACTCTGGCATAGAAACTGACCAATTAGAACCAAATTGGCCTGCAGAGGAGGGCAGTTAAGGCTGATCAGGCAAGCAGGCAGAGGCAGTTAGGGGTGATCAGGCAGGCAGGCAGGCAGAGGAATTAGGAGTGATCTGGCAGGCAGGCAGGTTAGGAGCCAGCAGTGCCAGATTGTGAGAGGACTGTCTGATGGCTGGCTTAGGCCCAATCCCATAGGACCCCAATTGGAGAGAGTGCAGGCTGGGTGGAGGGAATCCCCCCTCCATGCATGAATTTCGTGCACCTGGCCTCTAGTATATATAGAATAAGCTTGCTTAATTAGACCTACGTTCTGATTTAAACTTTTTCCAGCCCAGTGAAGCATCCCAACTTCTCTTTCAGGTAATTGTCAGAAACACAGCAGTAAATATCAACACGAAACAGATTATTGTATATCGCGCTTGGGGAACAAAGGGTAAAATATTTTACTGCATCAGTGTTTGACTATATTCTGTGAAGTGAGAAAACCTGAAGTCATTTTCAAGATCCACCATTTCTTCTTTTCAGTCTGGTCAAGTTTCTAAGCTTTCTAAATCTCCATTTTCTAGCTAATAAAAAGAAAATAGGACTCCATCAAGTTTCCTATCTACTCCAGCACTTCTGTGAGGATCAAATGAGAGGAGGCACAGAAAACACTTCATAGACATTTGATTAAAGTGTAAAATGTTTGCACCTGGCTATAAAGCAAGTTGTGTTTCCCCAGCTGAAGAAACTCCAAGGAGGCTAATCACTAGGGAGAGGAAGCTGAGCATTACTACCGTGTTTCCCCGAAAATAAGACATCCTCCGAAAATAAGACCTAGCGCATGGAAAGATAAGACATCCCCTGAAAATAAGACCTAGCGCAACTTTGGGAGAAAAAATTAATATAAGACACTGTCTTATTTTCGGGGAAACAGGGTACATGATGCCATTACCCAGATGGACACTCAGCATATTAGCCCTTTATGTATATATATATAGATAGATTTTACTATTGCTGAGAAGCTATTAGTAATAACACCAGTGAACATTGCATGATAACTGTACTTGCTCCTTGGAATAGCAAGACAGCAAGCAACACTAGGTAGGAGAAATATATTAAATTGACATTAACTCTTTAAGGATTAAAGAAAGCTAATACCAGTAAATACAGTAGTACTTTTCCTACAAATTCAAAAACAGCAAATAAAAAAATAAGTATCCTTCAAAGCCTGTACAAAAGATCTGTAATATCTGCAAGATGAAGCAAATGATACTACATGGAGACACAGTTATATCCTATTAGTGGAATGTGACTTAATCCTTAATGGAAGTTCCTAAAATCAGATCTGGACTATCTCACATGTTCTACAAAAGACACAAGATGAAAAGCAGGCGGTGTGACCTTATAACGGCACATACACCCTGCCTTGAGCTTCCATACTCTTCCCTCTCCCTCCCTTTCACAGCACCAGACTAAACCCTACAAACATGGGTGTCGGTTAGTTCCCTTATGACCAAGTGGGGAGCATAGCATTTCATAGCTAAGCCATTTCAACCAAAAGGATCACCACCAGGGGGAAAAAAAAGATATGGTCTGCGTAGGGACAGAAGGTCTGTGGGAGAGGAGTGGGGAAAGAGGGTGTCTAAAGAGTGCTGACATCAGATCTACGGGAGGGAAGAGCATCATGAAATAGACTTATGTGAAAGCTCAGTTGTGTAGAGAAAGAGCTGGTTGGCTTGGCGGTGAGCGACCTGGGAGGGGGAGATCCGCTCGGAAAGGGGGGTGGGCAGAAATGAGTCTGCTTTGGAGCTGGGAGTTGCAATGGGTAAGGGGGCGACCGTGACTGGGTCTGAGAGAAACTGTGAGCCGGTAAACTCACAGGAGGATGTCACGGTGTCTAGAGGCTCCTTTAAGAATCCTCAGAGTCCGAGGAGAGTTCTAATGGGGCGTGCTGCAAGTAGGGGGATTCGTGGCAGAACCACCGGGGAGGCTGGAGGACCGGAAAGGTGTCCGGTCAGAGATACAAACGGTGGGGACCCGGGGCAGGGATCCTGAGTCGGAGAGGCTCCAGAGCAGACTCGCTCTCGGGGTGTCTCCGCTGGGGCGGGGCCCGAGGGCCTCCGCAGGAGCCCAAGAGCGAGACTGAGACGCGAGCCGGCCCAGCGGCGGGGCAGCTGGGTGGCTAAGGCGGGTCTTACCTCGGGCTCCGCTGCGACGGCCACTACAGCCCTCCTCTAGGGCGGAAGCTTCCTCCCACCCTCGGCCCAAGGGTGAGGCCGAAGGAAAAGGCAGAGACTGAGACCAGCGACGGTTACGGGAGGGTGGGAGGGTGGGCCCAGTTGCTTCAGGGTCCGGGCGAGAGGCCGCCGCGCATCCCCCTCCCTGTCACAGAGACTCCGCCCGGCCTGGGCAGGCACATCCCTCGTCGCACCCCGCCCAGAGAGCACGCGTCAGACCGCCGCCTCTGCCGGGGCCGCGGACGCCTCTGCCACCGACTCTCAGGGTCCTGCCTGGACTCTGCGTAGCCAGCATCAACCGCCGCCTGCTCGTCCGTCGGCTCCAGCCCGCGCGCCCCCGACCCCGCGCACGCGGCCCCGCCCCGCGCGACTCCCCAGCTGCGGACCCGCAGGCGCGCGCGCACGCTCCTCCCACGCCCCCTGCCGCCCGCCCGAGTGGGCCCGCTCGCACGTGACGCCACCAGAGAGCCCAGTGTGCGCCTGCGCGGGCACACCCGATTCGGTCCACTCCAGGCAGCCCCGCCCAAAGGTTTTTCTTCCTCTGCGAACCCAGAACTGGGAACGCTGCCTCTACTGGAGAGTAATGTCGCAAGGTTGAAGTAGAAAGCTCTGGGTTTGCGACCGTAGTTCTCGCTTTCCGGCCAATACGGAGTCAGAGGTTCCTGAAGGCTGGTTGAGGTGGTGAGGCCCAGGCAGGTAAGAAGTCACCTCCCCGCTTCGGTTTGTCGGTGATTGTGTCGGGGCCTGGGACTGCTTTGCTGCCCACGCAGAACTAACGTATCCATGCCCTCTCCCTAATTCCGGCTCTTGATTCTCAGCGCGGCCCCTCTGAGTCCCCGCCTCTTTTCTTCACGCCCCCGACTTTTTTTTTTTTTTTTTTTTTTTAGTCCTTTCCATTCATTCTTCCGACTTTTTACAGTGGTTTCCATACCTTGTACTCAAGAAAGTCAGAAACGAATGAAATAGCCTCAGCTTTCTGAACGTCGGAGACGATGAGAGAGTCCGCAATGGTAGTAAAGTAAATTATAACAGAATAAAAGCACAGGATACTCTCTGAGCATAGGGAGCCCCACCCCCACCCCCGATTACGTAGAAGGACAAGGAAACCCTTTCAAGGCGACTTTTGGCTCACTCTAGTGAGCAATAGCTGGTCAAAGAAATAGGAGAGAGAAGCATAAGGAGTGCCAGGTACAAAGGGATATGACAGTATTTGTTCCGGAAGAGTAAAAAATTCGAGGAATAGGATATAGCTAGTGGAAACCATACTGTTGTAGCCTACACTTTAAGGATACGTCGTTGTAAAGGGTAAGGGTGAGGACCGAGAATGTGGGCCGCAAGTATATTTTCTTTAAATATGGGAGACTCTCAGGGTACCATGGAACTGAGAATGTCCAATTTATAGGATCAAGAGCTCTAATAGAACTCAACCTTGTACGCATATCAGAATTATCTGGAAAGCTTTAAAAAAAATAAAAATCAATGTTGTTGCTCCACCCAAAACCAATTAAACAATCTTGTCCGGTAATGTTTTATCCTGAGATGACTAATGCTGAGGGTTGAAAATAACTAAGCTAGAGAAATGTAAAGAATGGGAAGTAAGGAAGGACATAAAGGTATGGAGTTGGCTTTGTGACATTAGAATAGGTGTCATTTGATGAGAGAGAGCTGGGATGGAATGAGAAGCTTGAACAGAGTGATGAAAATTTTGAATAACTGCTCTTAATTTTAATCTGGTGTCCTCATTTACAGCTCTTTTTCCTCTCCCTTTCTCATCTATTTATCACCTGGGGTTTCAGTCTTATAGCTCAAGAGTATCCTCATTTTTATCCCCCACAAGATCAGAGTTGAACCAATTTATGAAATGCAAAGACTAACTTCACTCTCCTAGAGATTACTATTCACAGTGCCTTGCCAATTATTAATTTCATCAATCATTTAAGTTAGGAATGAGATATAAACATTTAGGACATAGCCCTACTAGGATATCATAGTATTAGGGAAACAAACCTTTAAAATAAGAATTCACTTGGCTGGCAGAGAAGGACTGTAAAGACAAAGCCCAAACCAGTGCAGAGCTACTATCTATTTGGGTTAATGCAAAAACCTGCCCATCTGCCTCCAGATAAGAGAGTCACTGTTGTTTGTTATAACTAGAGCATAGTATGGAGAATGGGTGGAGTAGAGAAAAAGATAATAAAGTGTAGACTTAAATCCCATGCTAATACATCTAATTTATATAATATAAATAACTAATAGGTAAAAATAACAAAGGTAAAAAGAAAATAACCTCTTTTACACCACGGACTTCTGTGATAGCCAGCCCTGTGGCCCCTATCTCAGAATGTTTTTAAATGTGAAAATACATGGAAATGAATGGAACCAATTTTATTCAAAGTTTTAAAAATTAAAACAAGTGTGTGATGTAGTTATATATGTTCTTCTTTGGGCATTAATTATCTGGCAACAAGTCTTATTGTATAATTCCAAAATAATGATGAGTGTAAATTATATTTTGAGATACCTGCAGCAACTTTAATATGACATGAAAATACCCTATTTTTTGTTAGTGACAAAAAACAGGGATTGCTATACTATGTATCATTGCCTACATTTATTGACGAAAATACTGAATTTCATCTAGAGATTATTGGAAATAAAAATGCAATTTTATTCCTATTCCAAGTTTATGGAAACCTTAAATTCTAGCCACATCCTGGCCCATGGAGCCTAGATTTGTAAAAAGCTCACTCTATTGTTTTTAAGCAATAGCATGATATATCAAATCTGTGTTTCAGAAAGGTACTAGAGTGGTGTTCATTTCCCAACCTCTATGTTGGAACTGGTTATTGTCTTCTCATCCTCCAGTACCTTAGGTGCAGCAATCCACTGTTGCCTAATACTTTAGGCCATTTGCAGGAGTGAGTATGTAGATATCTATGTAGAAGCAGTACTAGGAAATAAATTGGGAAAATATATTTGCGGCCCACGTTCTCGGTCTTCATCCTTCTTACCCTTTATAGCAGCACTTCCTTAAAGTGTAGTCTACACCAGTATGGTTTCCACTAGTTATATCCTATTCCTCGAACTTTATACTCTTCCAGACAAAATACTGTCATATCCTTTTGTACTTTGCACTCTTTCTGCTTTTCTCCTATAAGTTGGGGCTATTTTTATGGAAATCATTGAATGCCAGGCTGTAATCTGTGCTTGCTTTGGCAGATGATGGAGAGATGTAAAAAATTTTGGAGTAGGATAATAGAGTTCTTTTTGAAAAATTATTTTAACAGTAGTGTATAGTTTAGATCATTAAAAGATAAGATAGGAATTATGATACTACAATATAACTATGTATACATATAAAAGCCAAGTGACCTTTACAAACAGACAACTGAGTGACCGGCTGATAGCTATGACACACACTGACCACCAAGGGGCAGTTGCTCAATGCAGGAGTTGCCCCCAGGTTGTTAGTGCACTCTTAGCCAGCAAACCTTCAGTGGTTCCTCCTCCAGTCTCCTGCAGTCCCTCCCCCTGGCCAGACAGCCCTGATCACTCCAATCCCTGGCCAGGCTAAGGGGCCCCACTGATGCACAAATTCATGCACTGGGCCTTTAATAAATAAGTAAATAAATAAATGATTTTTTAATTAAATGTTATCAAGGGATCTTCTAAAGAGTTTGCTAAATTACTTTATTTCCCAAATGTGCTAGCTACTAAAAAAAAACAGATTGGCCCTAGCCAGTGTGGCTCGGTTAGTTAGAGCATCATCTGTGCTCCAAAAGATGGTAGATTTGATGCCCAGTGGTGGGGGCAGGGAGGTCATAAGGAAGGCAAATGAATCTTTTTTTTTTTTTTTTTTTGGCACTTTTTATTTATTTATTTATTTATTTATTTTAAATCCTCAAGCAAGGAGGATATTTTCCATTGATTTTTTTTTTTTTCCAGAGACTGGAAGAGACCGTGAAAGACAGAAACATCAATGTGAGAGAAACACACCAATTGGTTGCCTCCTGCAGGAGCCCTGACCAAAGTGCCAGAGATGGAGAGGAGCCTGCAACCAAGGTACATGCACTTAACTGGAATTGAACCCTCAATCCACAGGCCAAACTCTATCCACTAAGCCAAACTGGCCAGGGTGGCAATTGGCTCTTACATATCTCTCTCTATCTTTTTCTCTCTTACTCTCCCTTCTCCCTCCCTCTCGCACTCTCTCTCACTATCTCTATCTGAAGAAAAAAAAAAAAATCAATGAAACTAAACTGTATGGCAGCGGGCAAAACATGAGGGCAGCTTTCTCTCAGGTGCTTGCAGCGATTAGCATGGGACACTGAGACCCAGAGGCCTCAGAGGGCAGGGCTGATGGGAAGCCAAAGCTGTCTTCTCAGCCCCAAGACTCCACCCCATCCAAGCTAAGCACAGAGGCTTTTGCAAGTCTTGTCTCATAAGGATATCTCCAGCACAGAAGTTCTCCCAGTGTAGACACAGCTGATCCTCACAGCCAGTTGGCCTGAAGGTCAGTTCCTCCCAGTGATACCAACAACAATCAAGGCTTAACTACCGAAGGCTGTGCACACAGTCCACAAAGGGGTGCACCAAGAGAGTCCACCTCAGATAACTGGGGTGGCTGAGCCACTGGACCTAAAGGACACATAGCACACAAAGCCACTCTCAACTTGGGGAAGCAGCCAAAATGCAGAGACAAAGAAATAGGTCACAAGTGAAAGAAATGGAGGAAAGCAAATGACTGGATATAGAGTTCAAAACCATGGTTATAAGGTTTTTTAAGAATTTTCTAGAAAAGATCGATAAATTTAGTGAGATGCTCGAGAATATGAAAAAGGACCAACTATAAATTAAGCATACGTTGACTGAAATAAAAAAATATTATATAGAGACCTAACAGCAGACTAGCTGATCGCAAGAATCAAGTCAAAAATTTGAAATACAAAGAAGAAAAAAAAACAAAAACAAAAAAAACACCTAACTGTAAAAGAAAAAAGAATCCAAAACTATGAAGATAGTGTAAGGAGCCTCTGGGACAACTTCAAGTGAACCAACATCAGAATTATGGGGGTTCCAGAAGAAGAAGAGAGCAAAACCCTGAAAACCTAGCTGAAGAAATAATGACTGAAAACTTCCCCCACCTGGTGAAAAAAATAGACTTATGAGTCCAGAAAGCAGAGAGAACCCCAAACAAAAGGAATCCAAAGAGACATAATTAAATGCCAAGAGCAAAAGACAGAATATTAAAAGCAGCAAGAGAAAAACAGTTAATTACCTACAAGGGAGCACCCATACGATTATCAGCTGATTTCTCAGAGACCCATAGGACGATGAGGGGTAGTAGCAAGATTTATTGGAGCAAAAACAAAGGACTGCCCACAGGTGCCCAATCTATTCTATGATCAGTTGGCTTAGCCTTATCTTGCTGGAGAAAAAGTCCTGAGCCTGGTGAGCATAAATGCCCACCAAGAGAGTCAGGATCCAGAACCATAATACCATTAACCTGAGCTCTATTAGTTCAAAATAGCCTGCTCCCAGCTGCACTCCTGGCAAGTGCTGTGCTGCCATACCCAGGCCCGAGCTTGGGCCCACATGGCTGCTACAGAGAGAGCATGCAAACAAACCAGCAAACTTACAAAAAACATGTACTTCAGAGGAGAGCCTTTGTTAAGCTTTAATTATATTTCCTTGGG